AATGAGTTCATATGTGTTAAATTTTGTTTGAAATAATATGAAGTTATTATGAAGGATCACGGTGGTCTTTTTGCTATTTGAATACAAACAAAAGAAATCATCTTTAAACTAGGATTTTGTGACCAAATCTTTAGTTGTCAATATAAGAAACCACGTCTCGAACACGTTCAACGCGTTTAAATGTAAAAATCGTTAGAATCTCACGATTTCTTTTGTGTTTTAATGTCGTTATGCAAAGTAACGATGCATGATGTTGTGGAGTAGGTTTGGATTCATTAGACCTAAATGAATTTAGAAACTAGACTTTAATTTTGACCAAATCGTAATAGAATCTTGCAGTCATATCTTGATAAGTTAAGGTTGTAAGAATGGTTTAAGTTCGCTCTGATTGACGTCACCAACATCTTCAAGCCCAAAATCATAATGTTTGCGTTATTTAATAGGCTTAATAAATTTAATTAATAAATGATTGGCGTAATATCGCGGAAAATTGTTATTAGCATTCACGTATATTAATGTAGGGAGAGCATCGTTCTTTTCTTTGGCAACAATACGTTTTGTTTTCAAAAATTAGATTAGATTGATATCCGGTAATTTGTTCAAGTACAAACAATGAGTTTTAACACTCTAGAGACCGTTGTTGCTCACAGGCAACAATCACCAAACGAGATGCTTACGAAGGCCCGGCTCCCAGAGGATTAAACAATCATGTGGAACAAATACATATAATGACAAGCTTAATACTATTTATAAATATACCTTTCACTTCAAGCCACATATAAACCACGAGGCGTCATGGAAGGCAGATGTTGTTCATATAAGATGGAACAAGACTTTGCACATAGAAGACAAGTATAAAGATTTGTGATTGTGCCAATCAATATAAAGTTGTTGCTTTCAACTCTCCTCGAAGACAAGTTATTTGAAAACCACGATGTACAGATAAATACTATCAGTATCACATCCTAAATGTTGATAGCATCTGCAAAAAGAAATTTGAAAGAGGAAAACCCTTATAAAATGTGTGACACACGTAGCTACTTGTTTCGATATCATTTATGAAAATAGATCCTACGGCTGGAAACTACAAATGTAAGTGACTAAACTGACGATAAATTATTCTTTGTTTTCGATTTATCTCTATTGTTATTGTGAAAATCTCAATGGTTTTCATTGATGCTACTGATTTCTGGTTTGTTTCTTCAATATCACATTAGTTATAACTGAATATATGCAATGAATATGAATACACTAAATTTGTCATCTGTTTCCAATGCACTATGTGAATGAGTGCAGCTTTCATAGATTAAGGTGTAGACTTGCAATAAATGAGAACCGTAACTGTTTTTGCTCAATTTTCTACGACTCTCTACTATATTTTTAGTAGTAGAACCTCGGAGAAAACAGAACCTATAAACCCGATCTTTACCTTAACCCAGCAAGACATGACTGCAAGATTCAATTAATATTTGGACGAAATTAAAGTCTAGTTTATAAATTTATTATCGTCTCACGAATCTTAGCCTACAACATCATGCATCTTTGCTTTACATACCGACATTAAAACGCAAAAAATCTGAAGATTCTGATGAATTTTTTTATTTAGATACGTTGAAGGATAATTACTTATTGTCTTTGTAAAAGGTGAAGAGCTCCTAAGGAGCTAATCACAATGAAAAATTTTCGTAATACGAAAGCTAGGCCTCGTAATATGAAAGCTTTCAATGTAAAATGCTTTGATAACGATGTAAAGCCTTTGATCGTTTGAAACTTGTTACATCTTTCTAACTTAACCAACAAAAGCTATTCGTGCAATGTTGGTGAATGTTGTACCATTTGGATAGTCAAACAGAAAACATACAACAATTTGCTCATTCTCAATACATCTGATTAAGAATTTAAAAACGCAAACTAACGTCATATGTAGATTTCTTCATCATGAAATGTCGTATATGTGTTTTATATTCTCTAGCTTAGATTGTAGATCCCACATGGATAGAGTTGTGAAAGTCCGTTACCACCTGTGTCATTCACTTCAATTAGTCTTACTAGTTCATCATTTCTCATGTGTCATTGTGATTCATGGCCAAAATGTTCATTTGCAGTTTGGATTTTGTGGATGTCAGTTGTTTGTTCATATAATGATCATGGGCCCAATTGTTATATGAGCCCACCTAAAGGTGAGCAGCTGACATTCGTAGGAGATCAAATCTGCACTAAGCATTCTTTGAGTGATGATATAACTGGGGTATTGAAGTGATCCTTTTCCTCCGCTTGAAGTTACCTTAAGAGTGCATCGTAAACAGTAATCTATTAAAATGGTGATTCATAATACCAGTATCCCCTTTATTGCTTACGTCGATTACTTTGTGTATGGAATGGTATAAACATATTGAATGGACATTGCATGACGGCATTTGTATGTGTGAGCATTATTATTGAAATGATTGGACTATAATCTACGAAGATGGAAAACAAGCGAGTTAAAAAACATGATCCATGTCTTGTGGTTTTTAAGTTGAGTAGATAAGTATTAAAATTAACTTATAGCTATGAGTAACTGCAATGAGATATTCAAAACTAATCCTGATGGTCTATTTTTATAATTTGAACCATTGTCATGAAAAACACCCATATTAGCTAAAAAAATGTCAATAAAAGATGTCAATTGCTGTAAGAAAAGAGCTGGTTTTCACTCGCTTCTTTTTACTAATTTTATTAAACGTTTATAAACAAAATTGCAATGCTGCAAGTAGGGTTCATTGAATTTTTTAGATAAAAATGTGACAATAATATTTCTACTATATACACGTAAAAACTGCGCTGTAAAAAAAGGGGAAAAGACCTACTAAGATGCCTGTATCAGACGGACCAGGACAATGCTTGAAAATCAGGTATTAAAGTTTTGTTCTTTGCAAAATATATAATTTCTGATTTTAGTCATTCATTATGCTGACATTTATAATCTGTTTTTTTATAGAGTCGCTATGTCTGTAGGCCTAATAACTAGATAATGAATGTGCGATCAAGTTGGACAGAAGCACGAAGAAACAAGCATCCTTATTGAAAGATTCCCACTTGTGACTTTCGTTATGCTTACTATTAATCAGTATAACGCATTTTTAAATTAAACCGTTAAAAATTTCCGTAAAACTAAATTTTCACAATTGTCAAATTTTCGGACAAAACACACGAGTGAAAGCCAGCTATTAATAAAAGTCTTTTGTGATTGAAGAAATTTTGATTAAATGAAATCTAGTAGACATCAAAAATAATTTGTATGCAAGTCACGACGTCACTTTGGTCATTTCATTTTTCTTTGTTTTTGGTAGGTGAATGATCAGGTTCAACGAATTGAACGAATTTTTCATATGATTTATGTATGAGCTGCTATTAGTTTTTATTTTTCGTCTATTCATTGAAATTTGTGTTAACACTCTGCACTCTTTCATTTTTTGTTCTCTACTAAAGTTTTCGTTTCTTTTGTTCGAGCACAAAATATTTGCAGTGTCAATAAATAGGGTAGTCAGCCCACTTTTTTGTCGCCGCTTTTTTTGTCGACGCTTTTTTTGCCGCTTTGCAAATTTAAAATACGAACGACGAAGCCACGATCTGACTACGCTGCATGTTAAAGTAGATCATCGGGATCATTGAAAACAACAAAAATATGAAACATCTTAAAACAACAAAAATTTTACTAAATTTTTCTAAATTTTGATCTTTTTATTTATTGGAGGGTTTTTTACCGGATCCACCGGTTTTCCCTCCCATTTCGCTTTGTTTTGGAAAAAAAAAAGGGACAAAATTTGGGGCCAAGCGAAGTCATTTGTCATAACATTATTTATTGTAGCTATCATGAATATTCACGTTTTTTTTATTTCTCGGCCTTTGGGTATATTTCCCAAAACACTGCGTTAAATGAACATTATGGCTTACATTTTGAAAAAAATATGTACGCAATTTTTCTGCTCAGTCAGATCTTCTAAGACAAATATTTTAATCTACTTCATCAACCGACTCAGCGGGATAATAAAGATGATTTGATTAAATGAAATCTAGTATAGTTTTCAGTGAAAATTTTGATGATGGCATTTCTAAATTTTGCGAAATGTTATATATGACGCAAATGTGAAGATGTTAGCTAGTCACGTGACATGTATTATTAGCCAGAGACTTTGAACAGTGATTGTGGGAGTGTGACAATCCCTATCTTTTGACGAAGATGTGAAAAATTTGATCAAGTGAAAAAGAGATTTATCCTATTGATAAGAGTTATCCACCTTTCGTGCAACCGGCCCCTGCTGACTTGTGCAATTGATTACTTTAATATATAAGATCGTATTTAAGTAAGAATTTATCATATGAAGCTCAGTTGATATAACTTGTGAATTTTAATTTGAGATCAATTAATCGTTTTATGTTATTGTATGTTAATCATCCATGATGAATTCTTGTGATGACGTTAGAATCTCATGACATGGTATAAGATTATAGGACAGGAAGAAAGACATATACTGAAATAGAAAAAGCTCTTGTCATTTTCTGTTTCCAATACCTTTAAATTTAGGACTTAGGAGTGTTAAAGTGTAAGAGCAACCTTTAAGATAATTGTTAAAACTCTTTGCTTATTCTATAAATAAACACTTCAAGAAATACATGAAAAATTTGTAAATAGATTCACCACACGGTGACAGATGTCAATTTGCGCATCAGTGCAAGCTTTGATTACACCCAATTGCAATTGACCGTGCGGTGTGCAAAGATGAAATGTTTGTTACAGTTTTAAAAATTTAAATTATTAATCGCTAAGGCGTACAAGTTAAGTAATGGAAGCTGTAGTTTATATGCAATAAATTAAGCGAACGTAGAAGATGAACAATATGATGGATTTTAGTAAAGGTTATAACGTCAAGTTTTGAAACTATAACAAACGTTTAATTTATGCACACAGCACGGTCAATTGAAAACGTGCAGTGCACGAGATAGTAAGTAAATGTTTGTTTTAACGTCAGACGACAAAATAAGAAGTATATTTCTTGCCACAAATTCAAATACGCGCACTCCAAGTATATATACAGCTCAGTGTCATAAAGAAAAGTAAAAATCAATGCGAAAGATACAATTTAAAGAGCTATATTAATTACTCAATAAATTGCATAAAACCAACATATTTCAAGATATATATTGCCTAAATTTTTGTGTTGTATATGAAAATCTAAATAAATGAAAAAATATCCATTCCAACCAGACAAGATAAAGAAATTCGTAATCATGGAAAAGATTATACATTATTTTATTCATACATGTGTTGAATTCCATCGGGCAGAACACGATTTGCCAAACCTTAAACACCCAGAACCTGAACGACAACAATTCCCGTTAAAACAACAAATTCCATTCAACCAAGGACAACAACGGTAATTTTCAAACTCGATCTCAAAACTATGAACTGGACAACATTTTGTACCATCCGGACACCATTGTGGCACTCCATGAATTTTTCCACAACTTACACGATTTACATTCTAGAAGAAATTTGATTAATGATTTGAGTACATTATTTAAGTCATTTTTGATATAATGACACTTATTACATTTATAAATATTTCTATTTAGAACTAAGAATACTCAAAAAGAACATTTTTACTCTTATTGATATTCCAAGAATGAAAAACTGTGTGTTCGATAATAAAATCTTCGTTTTTTCCAAATGTTTTGAGCACATTACTTAAGTCGTTTTACAATTATAATGAGTAGCATATTTTACATTTAAAATAATATACTTTAAGATATTCTCGACAATGATTGATAGATTGCTGTGCGTTTTTTGGTAATTACCAATTTACCATGGGAAAATGTATAATTACAATGTAAAGCTTTGAAAGCTTTCTTTAAACAGAGCGTCTTTCGTATGCATGTTTATGTGAACTTGCTCTAGAAATTACACCATTGCCTTTACTAATGATTTCTATTTCAAACTGAAATATATTTTAGCTGTCTAAATTTTTCTTCTATTAACATTGCGATAATTAAAACTTTTGTTTGACATTAAAACTTCTCTTTTCTTAAAATGTGTGCCGAGAACAAGGTTTAAAGATCTAATTCCAACTAACAAGCTCAATATTAGAAAAATATAACAATTTTCAAAATAACTAGTTACATTGGAGGCGTACGGAGGCTTCAATCTCTGGCTGGATGTGTGCTGTACTTAGCCAAAATGTTACATATCTAAGTAGTCTTTTATGTGGAAATTTAAAGTCACATGACAATTGGTCAAGTAAAGTTACATTCTTTCAAGTCCGTAGCTAAAGATATTAAAGTGGTGTGTTTATTAGCTGCAAACACCAAAGACACAAGATTGAGAAAATCCAAGGTGTCTAGGGTTGAACCCTGGGGCAACTTTAATTTCCTGAAAATCGTCATTCACTGCATTTTGAGTACACTTTTTAATAAAACAAGAAATTAAAAGTAAACAAAGTGAAAATAATTGATAAAAGGCTTTTTTGTACAAAGTGAAAATAACAAGAAAGCACCTTTTCAAATGTCTTTAATTTGCCTGCCCTAAAGGCACCTACTTCTCAACCTTAGAGGAAGTGACACCCACCCCAAAGTCCCCAGCAGCATTCCCACGATCGATATGCGTTTGACCTCGTACTTTATTACACTCACTGGTTAACGTCTTGATTTAGCATCTGTATTTCTGAATGACATGTTGTTTGTAGTAGAATATCAAACGTTCGGGTTCATCATTGTAAGAAAATCATTGTTGAAAAAAAACAACTTTTGTATATGACGCTTTAGCGGAAACATTATTAGTAAATATCACAACTTTTACCGTTTTGAACCGCCTGGGGCTACTAAAAGTTGATCAGAACGCAAACGTTTGTCTACTTTTCATTAAATTTCTTATGACTTTTTATGATTATCTGACAAAAAAAAGACGTAGCAAGTAAAATATAAAGGTTTAGCTCTCTGACGCTGATTATCAAAATGCGTTTACTTTTTATTATAAGTTGTGTTTGTGTTAGGAAACCAGAATTATTAAGCCAGTGCAGTGAAGTCAGTGCAACAAAGCCAAAAAGCAGAACATCAAATTTATAAATAATTTTTGTGATCGACTGAGAAAATTTCTCTTGCTTTATAGAATAATTTTGATTGCTTTCATGTGACACACGTTGGTTAGTTCATGGTTATGGACTTTGCCCCACTCCTTATTATCAAATGTTTATGTTTGATAAATATTAAGACGACCAACCTCTTTGTACGTATTTTCCAATAATGATTTCGTCGGTCTTTCCTTCATTTGCTTGTATCGCTCCATTTTGACAAAATCAATAAAAACCAGTAAACACAACAGTATGTAAGCTCTTTTCATAGCTAAAACAAAATGATCAAATGTATTTCTTTTTTTACATATTACATTTTGTAGCAATAATGTTGAAATTAACTTTTCTTGTACTTCTTTTTTGTAACAAGTAAAAATGCAACAAAATAAAGTAGCAATAATTCTGTCTACTTATATCGACCTACTTTGAGGCTGTGGTGACTTGTGCAATGAAGTGTTTGTTGTGAGATCGTATTTAAGTAAGAATTGATCACATGAAAATCAAACGATATTCATGTGAATTTTGGTTTGAGATCAATTAATATTTTTATGTTGTTGTATCTTAGTCATCCATGATGATTTCTTGTGATGATGTTATAATCTCATGATATGGTATGATTACATGACTGGAACAATGTCATATAGTAAAGTAAAAATAGCTCTTGTTCTTTTCTGTAGCTAATGCGATAATACCTGCAAATTTAGGAGTTTGGAAGTGTAGTAACAACCTTAGTTGAAGACATTAGTAAAAAGTCTTCTGGTTATTCAATAAATAAAGCACTTGGAAAAATACATATAAAATTTTGTAAATAGGTTTACCACACCGTGTACATGCGACAGATGTCAATCTGTCTTTCAATAGATGCTTCGATAAGGTAATTCATCGTCTTAAATTATAATATAAACACAATGAAACGCGTGCGTTGATTATTCTAGAGCTGAGTTTGCATTAGCCAGTGCAAAGTACATCTGAGCTCAACCAATCAAATCAATCGAAACAATAAATCAGTCAAAGAGAATTTGCAAATTGATCATGAATACATTTAAGAGAAAAAATGGAAACGTTTGTCTTTTTCACATTATTATTAATGAATAAAAGAAATAAAAGTTGTTTTCGTGTTTGCACTGCCTTATGCAAACCTTGGAGAGGTTTGTGAGAACCTCGAGCACGTGCAACCCTTGACCTTTGGTCAGTGAACTCCATATATATATATATCTCTGGAATGATAACTACAATACATTTTATAGATATAAATTGAAGCCAAAGTCCTAGTCTCTTGCGCGGTTTGTATGTCAGTTCCAGTCCTTCAAAGTCGAATATTCACGCGGTTTGTACGTCAGTTTCATTCCCCTGAGTGCCAAACATACACGGCCACTATAAATTTGAATACAAACTGCAAAAGCATAAACATATAAACAACATCACGACAAACAACACACTAGGCCAACTCTTCGCAAAAGGTTATTTTTTACAGCTAAAACTTTACTACAGTGAGTTCGTTGTAACTTACAACTTGTAACGAGGAAAAGCCAACTGAAAATTACACTTTATGCTAAAAAGGCAATACAATAAGAAAATATGACGAGGAAATATTCAAGCATAAATTTTTCTTTCGTCGGAAGGTAAATTTTCAAACGGTGTCAGACAGTGTTTGTCTTTTTTTGTCGTTTCAATGGATTTAAAGATCTGTTTTTCCGAAGAAAAAAGAAACTTGAATATCCAGGTTCATAAAAAATGTTGAGTCTATAACTCGCATTTTACTTTTTACAGAGCGATTGTATCTTTCATCGATTTTGATAGTGCTTGAAATACTAAATGGTTGTCATCTCGATATCAGTAATTGAATATCCTTAAAGACTTTGATATGTTTTAAAGGAAAACCGCAGCGTAAAAGCATATCGACTAAGTTCACCTCACCCTGCTTCTCGATTTATCACTTTGATTCACTTTCCGTGAACCTTTTCATTCCAAAAATTTCGTTATTTTTACGCTCTGATCAAGATCCGAACTCTACCATTACCAAGGGACAAATGATTTAAAAAAATTAAAATGAACACGCGAGAGACTAGAGCCTGACGTGTGATGACGAATGATGACGACAAAAATTTTTTTGGCTTCAATTTTTGGCTTCGGTTATCATTCCAGTTATTCAAATGTCGAGTTCACTGCCTTTGGTCTCGGGCTTGCACTGATCATCTCTTATGTTCTCCCAAAGGTCTCCTCGGTTTGCATAATCCTGTGCAAACACAGAAAACACCTTTTATTTCTTAATTGAAACATTAAAACTTTTTTGAACAACGTGCAATGCACGAGATAGTTTGTAAATGTTTGTTTTGACGTCAAACTCAAACTAAGATTTTACGAATATTAATGTAGCACAGTTCTCATGCTTTGGATCAAAATTTTTAAATAGAATTACATAATATATAATATAAATATATTTATTTTTTCAAGTGTTTTGCTACCACAAATCACCCGTAACTTATTTACTAAATGTATGGAATTAAAGTGCTTTTACATGCTTTAACTGCCAAATTTGTCGGTGTTGATAAACTAGGAATTTAAACTAGAAAATAAACCAGGAATTTTTTATTATAGCTGTGTGCCGTCGTTTTTTTCATATATTCACGCTTCCATGAGCTAAACTAGAACGTTAATTGGGGTATATATTCATATGTTCAGCTCTGCCCTGCTGATTTCTTTTGTTTACGATGTTAAATTCAAAAGAAGTCAGCAGGAGCTGAATATATGAATATTTACCCGCCTCAATACGTTCTAGTTTTGCTCTGACGCTATCAGTATGTTATTTGAGAACTTAAATGTCGTTGTTAAGAAATCATCGTAAAAACGAGAAAATTGATTTTATTTTTATGCCTTACTACAATACAACATATCTGCATGCACTTTATCATTTGAATAAAGCAAACATGTTGGAATATTTAGAAAAAATACATTTAATCGAGTAATTGTGTATCATTTATGATTAAGTTGAAAACTGCAAACCATTCATTTTATTGTGAATTTGCATTCTGAAATGAATGACTGAAGTATATAACCTACGATGTTCACTTTTGATTTTATTCTAATATCTTGTGTTATATTTACATACTACGAGGCTGTTGCTTAAAGCAAGATCAATCAATGGCTTAGTCACACAGATCTAATAATACACTAGATAGTGCAACGGCTTACATTTCATAAGTGGTGGTTGAAGCCGGGCAAATTTACTTCCGGAGCCCCAAAGTAGTGAGAATCAATATGGCGTTGTATTAGAAAATATCTGGTGAAAGCTGATATCTTGCAATTAGTTGCCAGTCACGACGGTTACATAAACTGGTTTACTCTATTAATGAAAAAAATCAATGTGACCATAGTTTTTCAAGAAAAAGATAGCAGAATACGCCAATACATCGCCGTAAAATTGATTTCAAGTGTAGCTCGATTTGAAAGCATCAGCAGCGACGAAGGCTTAAGATACTGGAATTTGCACATCTAAATATCGTATCACAGCACAATCTGCCACAAAATGTTCAATCAAACGTCGTAGAATTATCTTCCGATATTTATTGTTAAGTAAAACGAGTTGGAGATAACAGTTTGAAAGATTTTTCACGATTTATGTAAAGTATATTGTTCACTGTACATAATTAAATATTGCACTGGATTATTGTACCAGAAATGCATTTTTCTGGTGTTTCTGGTCGGCAAACGAATATAGCTATTTCAAGATGTGAGTAATTAATACGTTCAGAAATTATTTACAGAAAGAATGTGAAGAGTCTACCTCGAAGAGTCTATGTCTTGCTTGTCTATGTCTTGTCTATGTCTTGCTTGTCTTGCTTGTCTATGTCATAGAGTCTGTCTTGCTTCTTCGGAATTTGTTTTATATTATGAGTCTACCTCTGTTACACCAAATTTTTTGTGAAGTATAAAATAGCAGGTCACTTGTGAAACTGTTGATACCACAGGTTGATACAATATACTCTGTCCAACACGGGGAAAATATTTACTTGGTAAAGCAAGAAGAGTCACCAGACTTGTAGTATTGACTGTGTTTTACACATATATATAAACAATGTATTGTCATAGTCTAAACCAGTGTATTATATGGCCACTGCCCACAGTGCTTAATGTACTGTTATGGTGATGTTATGCTACTGTTTTCAACATTTTTATTGTCTTTTTTACCATTCAGGCATGTATATGCATATAAAACTTTCTACACATTCTTGTTATTGAAAATATCAAACCTAAATTATTTATTCTGAGCAAAATATTTAATTTGTGCTTGTAACATGTGTCAATTTCTGACTGATTTTTGTAATATGCCTGTTCTATTACAATACATCCATAGATCGAGTATGATATCGCTGTATTTGCCACACGAACTAAGCCACACTATCGCAGATTGTCCTGTGATACGATATTTAGATGTGTAAATTCCAGTACTTAAGCCTTAGTCGCTGCTGATGCTTTCAAATCGAGCCACACTTGAAATCAATTTTACGGCGATGTATTGGCGTATTTTGCAATTTTTTCTTACAAACTATAGTCACAATGATTTATTTCATAAATAGTGCAAAAATGTTGATGCAACCTCCGCGATTTGCTAATAATTGCGAGATATTAACTTGGACCACATATTTTCTAACTTGCAGCTAAATCGAGAGATCGGAGCACAGACGTGAAACGTGTGAACCATAGATATAGTAGGTCCTACTATATCTATGGTGTGAACTGAAAGATAAATATTAAATGTCACCATCGTTACGCGCGCGAATTGTTTTATCGTCTTGCCGCGAAATACGATTTTACCCACTTTTGTAAAAAAACATCATCGTATGCGCATTGTCAACTTTCTTGTTCTCCTTCCATTGTATTGCTCTATAATAAAGCTAAATATCTTAACGTTTTAAGTTCTTTATTATTCGTGAAAAGCGGTATGTGGAATAACAATACGAAGGTATTGCAAGTTTAATTGCTTCATCACACTAAGCATATGCACATACATTAACTGAATTGCAAACACTACTTTCGCTGCAGAGTATGTCAGAATACATGAAACTACTTGACAACTGCCGTATTGGCAATATTTTGGAAATAATTGGTAATAATTATATAAATATCAGCAGTGTTGTTATTATAGTATTTTAAATTTATAATAAGCTTCTAAACATAAACATATTCTGACTTACCCCAGAACTTCCACTGCATTGCACTACATGCAAATTTTATGCAGTTATTTAGGTTATTTATTTCAGACCTTTGCAGTGCAATGGGGATGGGGGGTGCAAGCAACGTGAATATAGGCCCTGACATGACATAGGATTAAAGTCTTGCATTAAAAATTCATAATATTGAAATGGTAAGTTAGTTTTGTTAATTATATGTACATAATTTATTTGGAGGTTTTGTCTCTCAAATAAGCTTCAAAAAAGATAGAGCCCGTACTGAGCAAGCTAACTAGAGGTCAGGCTTTTGA